GACGAAGCTATTCTAATTAGCCATAAAGCAGCAAATCCTCATGAATACCAATTGCCTTCATATGCAACTAAAAATTTCGAAAAGTCATCTTTTAAAAAACCTACTAATGTTATACTTGAAGTCTATGATGATATGCCTCATTGCTGGCATGTAAGTATTTTTAATTGTTAAAATTTTGTTTTTTGTCGTAAATACATATTATTATTAATTTTACATGTATGAATGATCAATTATACAGATGTTCCCTTTTTCTAAATCTTCTCAAACAGCATTTGAACGTTGTCGTGATTTTATAAAACATGTTATTTCTATTAAAGACAATAACACATCCATGATTGATCTTATTAAAGAGGAGGCAATACTTCCTTCTATTTCAGTTTCACCCTCATTTCTTGCAATGAGAATTGGTACAGATGGTATGATTAGAGAATTGAATGAAACTGATCGGAATTGTCTAAAATAGAATAAAATTGCCGTAGTGCCTAAAGCTAAACTTTAAAAAGTACATTCTTAATAGAATTAATGAACCTTCTAAAATCAATTCTATAACGAACTAACGGTTCTTTAATAAAAAATCTTTAAAAGTTCCTTATGATGTAATCTCTATGTTTCTATACCGAGCTTATAATAAATTCTTTTAAAAAAAGTTCATTATGAAGTAGGTTCGTTATACAAATAAAGTTCATTATATTCAGAGTCGACTGTATTATTAGGTTTATTTGAAACGCTTGGATTTTTTATTTTTTTTTTTTTTTTCATATTTCATAATTATCTTCATACGTTCATTTAGAGTGGTTAACTATGAAGATTGCTATAAAATATTGAGGAATTTACAGATAAGGGCCCAAAAATGAAAATAATTACAAATAAGGTCCCAAATGAAAATAATTGTCGCGGATTAACATGAGGTCTGTCCAGCTTAAGGCAACCACGTGATTTTATTATTCATTATTAGGACGAACATGAGATAGACCTCAAGTTACATATACATTAGCATATAATCCTACATCCTAAAACCTAACCCCAAATTCTTAACCCCTAAAATATGCACAAATGTTCCAACTAAAAAAAATAGTTTGGCATTTTCGTAAAAGGTAGTACAGTAAAAGAATTTTGTGAAGACGAAATGGCGGGAAAAAACATTTGCAGAAGAGGCGACACAATGGAAGTTTGTGGAAGAGGAGACACAGCAGAAGGAGGTGACACTGATAAAAAATAAAATTTGGTGTGTTAATAAAATTAAACAAGTAAAATTTTAAAATATTACCTTTTTTATCATTCTTATTAATGCAGCGAACCCTTTTAACAGCGTTATGCATAGTATTTTCTCAGTTGTTTTAACAACAATAGTTTTGTTGTTGTTTATCATATTAACAACAGTTCTAATTTTATTGAAGTTTTCTTTTATGGATTGTCAGGTTCATTTTGGTATCAGGGGCTATAGCAACTAGTTGATCAGGCTCATAAAGATTATTGCAATAATGAACACTTGAATGTTTGAGCATGTATTTTTTAGGTTTTTCAAGTTAGTTGTTGGTTTCTTCATGGATTGCTAAAACCTTTTCTAAATAATTTCAGGTGTTGTCAGTATTTCTTGTATTTCTACTTCCCAAAGTTGATAGAATCATTAGGGTTAAATTGCTGATATATTCTGAGAAGCTTGTATTCAAATATTATCTTGTGAAAGTTTTTCTATATACAATATATTTAGTATTATAGAAAAAACAAATTTTATTAAATAATTTTTTTAGTTAACATTTTGCAATTGCATTTCTTTATTCTATAACATTTTTATAAAGTCCTGTTCAAT